CTTGAGAAGAAGCAGAAACGAAGGATGCTCCTCAGCACACCATCTCCTTTCCCATTTTGGCTCCTCGTGCTGCCACAGCCTTACTCCCAGAGCCAAGGCTTGCTGAAAGCAGAGGCAAACACAAAATGCCCTTCCAGGTGCGTTTCTCCAGAACAACCAGACTCCAAGTAACGTGTTCTAGACAGGTGAGCATCTGGAATATTGTGTTAATGCATTCATAATCCCAACCACGCACACTTTATGATCCCTACAGCATTTATTCTCACAGCATTTCTGAAGGCACAGAGAGAAAGCCTGGCAGGTAACACACCTTTGGCAAGCTGTCCAAGTAGAGTGCCTGCACTGCTCACCCAAGTTCAAGTGCTTGTCTGGTCCCTGAAGATGACGGGCTCTGCTTTCTGCTCCGGTGCTTGCTCTTTCATCACAGGTGGAAACAATACTGGAGCTAATGCACAGGGAGTATAACTCTAAAGCACGAGCAATCAGGGACACTATTGTGTCCAGAAGAGAAGTAAAATCCAAAGGAAACACGTTTGCTCCTCCGAGAGGAGCACAACCAACCTGTTTTCAAGTTACCAGCAAACAGCACCTTACAGAAGGAAAACCCCAGACGCATTACCCAATATAACAGCTTTCAGAGCAGGCATGAAGCTCACTGACTGTCTCATGCAATAGTCAAGGGAGAGAAGCAGATTCCTGCAGCAAGCCAGCACCTTGCTGGCTGAGAAAAACTAGGGAGGTCTCTTTGAGAGGTGAAGGGAGGGCCCAGCTACTGCCTGGCAGGGTTTCAAGGAGCTTGAAAGACTCAGACTAAATCTGCTCACAGAGGCTGCTGAACCAAAGCAAGCTTCTTGTCTTCTCTCAGATTTGCCCACCCCATGGCCTTGGGACCACTCAGGTCTTCCTAATATCTACTCCAAGACCACAGAAGCATCGAGATGAACAGGATCTTAAAGCACATGGAATTATAATATTTATAAGGAGGCCAAATTTCCCCCTAGCTCCAAGCAGTTCAGCTCTGTAACGCTATGTTCTTTTCTGTGGCTCAGCTCTAAGGAGAATTTGTGTCTAAATCTGACCAGTGCATTCATTTAGTACCACTTTGGAAAGGCAAATTCTGTTTTTAGTGCACAGCTGAGATGAGATGAACTGGCAGCAAGGGCTCCTGATAGATCCTTTGAGAAGGATTTCTTTCTAAAACCACCTTGTTCATAAGAAATAGCCAGACTGGTTTGCCTTTTTGTTGTTTTTTGTGTACAAACCATTGCTATGACCCCAGGAAGGGCAGATTGCAACACTTCAATGAGAACATAGTCAGATACTGGCATCTACAAACAGCACAGTGGGTTGGTTCTATGCTCCAGGGAGGACAATTTTGGAAAACTAAGAACGTAACGAAGTGGGTTACTAGTTCAAAGGATTAAAACCAACCATGTGATGGATTGAAGGTGGACTACTGCCTATATACCATAGGATTTTGTATCATCTCAGTCTATGACCAACTCTTCAGCATGGTGGACAGAGAGAGAGCAGTTGACTAATCCATGATCAGTCAGGAAGGTTCATCTAGGAAGGTTTCACTGCCAGGTATTGTTAACGTGAGAGAAGCCATCAAGAATTTAAGCAAATGAGTATTTCGTGCGTGTGGGAAGAGCAGAGGCAAAAACAGCATTTTGTTTGCTGTGTGAAGAAGCGCATTTGCCAACAACGCGTGTTCGCCCTCTTTCCCCACGTGGCTTATCTCATCCGTGTGGGTATGACCTTCCCAGCCGTTAATTACAGAGCAGGGTGCTTCCATTCTGAATGTGAGATCCAACTTGCAGCCTCATTTTTGCTTTCACCCTCTGCGAAAGAACGATTCCTCCTTTTTAAGAGGAAAAAGAAAATGAAGAGTCAGAGCAGACTGTTCAGAGCTAATAGCAAAGTAGGATAGTACAAAACCAGGTTCTTTTATATTCCCAGACTGCTGGGCTGAGGAGTACCAATATTTCCTCACACCCAACCTAACGCAGGAATGAAACCCACTGGCGCAAACTTGGTGACTCAGCCACTCGAGCCAACCTCACTCCTGGAATGCTGCCACCGGTTCTGCGGATGATTCACACCCTCGCACATGCTATTAGACAAGTGCCTCCTATAAAATAATAATTAACCCCAATAACAAACATCCTACCACACAGCACTGGTGCAGCGCGAACTGGATTTTCACGAACTATTTTATTTCGCATCTTCTGCTGCTTTCATTACGTTTTAATTAAAGCTGCATCAGGAGAAAAATTAACCTCGGAATAACCTCATTAGACATCCGGAGGAAAAGCAATGTAGAGCAACGTGAAATTCAGCAGGGACTGCAGATGGTGGATTTGTAAATCAGGCTCTGCTTCAATTCAGCACTTGAGCAGAAAGCTCACCTCTTCAAGAAATTACAACTGAACGAGAAGACGCCATGAAGTGGACCTCACTTGTGCCACACCATGACCAGGAGTGCAGATGACAGATTTCTCTGCAGTCTTTATGCAAAACATTTTTTTTAATTGCAAAACTCAGAACAAGTTAATACCATGGAGAGCACAAAAAGTCTTGGGGCTAGGCACTGGGTCAATGCATTACGGCCTGCTTCTCTACTCCAACTATCCCTTTCCTTCAGCTTCCCTCCTGCTTCTGGGCAGGTTATCCCAGGAATTAATGGCACTGCTGAAGGCAAGAGTTGTACCCATTAAAACACTGGCATCAGCTTTGCCATCTGCACAATCAGAATCTCTCTTCCTCCTTTCTAAAGGGACAGGGAAGAAGTTTTTTGCCAGGCAAGATCAGATCACAAGTGTTTCTCGTCCAGGATGGCTCCTCCACGTGTGCTGGGTGGCAGCAGGGCGATGTGGTGATGGGGATACGTGTGTGGGACCTGGCACCTCCAGCCAGGCAGCGATTAGAACAGGCTGTGAAATGCCACATCAGGTATTCGATATCTCAGCAATGTTTGTGTCAGCAAGAACTATTTGACTTCGATCATTCTTATTACCCAAATCAGAGAATAATCCCCTTTCTTAACATTAGCAAGCTCTGAGCCTCGATGACTTCCCGTAGCACTGAGTTTTGTCATCTAATCACCTGCTGGGTAAGAAAAAGCTTAAGATTGATTTTACTGTCTTTCCTTTTCCACATCTTCTAAGCATGCAGATACTTCTCTAGATCATTACTATTCTCCGGACTTATTTTTTTCTTCCATACAAGTTTTGCATAATTCTTTGAGATAGATTTATACATACAGAATGGATCACTAGGACACTGCCAGAGCCTCGATTCATCTAGAAGATGTTAGTGTACCTGTTTTCCTGTACTTTTTTCTAGGTTCCTTTTGTCTTGTCTTCTTGAATTATAACCAAAAAACTTTTCCTATCAAGTATCAGCAGGCTGTTGTCCAAAGGTAGGACCTCCTATTTTCGTGGCAAACCCAATTAACTTTTGGAATAAGATGATCTGTAGAACACAGGGAACGCTATTTTCCTAACAGTCAACCTGGAAAAATGAAACCTCCACTTACCTCTGCCCACCAACTGAACACCAGAGCACAGCTACAAGTCCTTCAACGTGCTGAAAAGAACAGCGAGCAGCACGTAGCACAAAATATTGTCGTTTGCTTGCCTGTGCTTATTACGGCAGTAAATAACCAGCTGCCTGCTACTCTTCACATATAACCTCAGTGTGGAGGCTCACTGTAAACACAGAAGCACTGCTCAGCCTGACAGCCTTCCATCTGTCTGCGGAGGAGATTTTATAGACGGATATATGTGCATGCGTAAGCTAGCCGAGGAACTTAGCTACTGTGAAAATCCCCAGCAAGTGACACCACGGAAGGGGGCTGTGATGAAATGAAGGAAGCAATGAAGGCAGGAGGGCTCCAGGATAAAAATTCATGGCCTATAACCCACACTGATGCTGAATCACAGGGCTACGCTGGTTTGTTTTAAAAAAAAAATATTGTGGATGATGAAAGTGTGCTATATTTTGTACTCATAGTCTGCTCCTAAAGGGTTCTGAGTCACTATTTGGTGTGCTTTTATGCTGCAGTCTCGTCAGCTGCACACCAATGAGCTCAGTTAAGCAAAACAGAGAAACAGGCAAAAAAAAAAAAAAAAGCCCAGATTAAGTCACACAGAGCAAGTTTAAATCCAGTGCCAGACTGCCCACTTATGCCATTTATTTTTGTGATAGGTGCCGGAGCTGTGAGGCTTTAGGAGTATTCATCTGGACCTGACCCACGTGGCGCAAGCTGCAGTAGACGCAAGGAGCCATTAAGAGCTGCACAAGAATTCAAGGGCAGTGACTAAACTCCACGAGAAAGAGCAGGAAACAACTCTGCAGTGATCCCCAAAAACCTCTAGCTCATTTTTCTAGCATCCAGTCACACCGTATGCCTGAGAAAAGGCCTGAATGATGGAGATGGGTGCAGCGAAAACCTCCCAGTGAAAAGGAGAAAGCCAGGCTGGGAAAAAAAAAAAAAAAAAAAAAAAAAAAAACACAACAAAGTAAAAACCTTGCTAATACAGTAACGAGGAGACAGCCTTCATTACTGTACAAGCTCAGTGCCCAGGCCGTGCAGGTACTTCACGTAGGCTCATAACTTATCTCACCGACACTCAGACAAGCTCAAGAGACATCCATATTTCAGCACGTGGTGCTCTGGCACATGTTGCTTACATAAGCTGTCCCTGTAAATTGGAAATAAAAGAACATCCCTGATTATTTATTTATGCAGCTCCGGGAGGCTGTTTGCTATCTCAGCAGTAACCCTGACGGATTACATAAAAGCAGGGGCAGAGAGGGAGGAACTCACGCACAAACATGCTCAAACACGGGGCACGATGCAAACCGCTGCCTTTCCACGGGGTGCAGCAGAAGGTAAAGCTTCTCAGCAGGAGCAGCGAGGCCGGGTGCAGGGCAGGTAAGATACACATCCCCCAAAGAGGCACACACTAGAGAAAATGAGAAATGAAAGGAACTTCCAGCAAAACAGTAAGTTTAAGAGAACAGAAATGGAAACAACAGCTTTTAAAAGAGACTTGGCGAGTTCCATTTGTTATCTAAGCATATGACTAGAGTATTAAATCTCCCTCTAAAGCACAAATGCTGCTCACAGCTGGACCACAGGTGATGCGCCCCGAAGCATCTGAGTGAAGATGTTGTCTCATGAAGCTCAGAGACAACTGGAAGCCCTGCAGCATCCTTACGGGGGGGCACAGCTGCATTTCAGGCTGATGCAGCTGCACTGCGCCCCCAAATGCCTAAACTAACCTGTGCCAGGCACACAAGAGGAATCAGCCGGCTGGCTGGGGATGGCTCCCGTTGTTTTCCAAGGCCATTTGCTCTTTCTGCCTGTTCTGTCCCAACCAGACACATCCTTCATGATTTAAATTGGGATTTTAAGCCGTTCTCGCAGAACTCGGCCACCCACACATGGAGCAATGCAGCTGACAAGCTGAGAGACCCAAGCACGCTCTGCAGACAGCAGGGAATGGTAACGCCGGCTTTACATAACGAGGTTATCGCAGCCACTTCGTGTTCTGCCATTTGCTGGCTGCTCAGCGCAGACACACACGTCTGGGGTCACTTCTGCAGGATCTGCACTGCAACAAAACCATAACGCCGAGCTGCACAGAGCAGCTTTATTGTAAAAGAAAGGATCCAACATCTTAGGAGACCCACAAAAAAGACTAATGAAGACGAAAAGACCCCATGAAGTGTCACAGAAACAGGAACAGTCACACTCCCATAGAACTTCATCCAGTTATTTCACTGTCCTGATGATTCAAGGCGTGCATTTTCATTTTTCTTCAATGAAGAAGAAAACAAAACAGATTTGGTGGAAAGGTTTCGGTTGTACAGCAGCTCTTGTGCTCCGAAGTGATGGGAAACTTTCACGTGTACACCAGCACGTTTTGTGGCTGCTGTCATTGTACTATTGCATCTCCTGCTGCTCCCACATACTTGGTTTTATTGTTCTTGTTTTAGATGTATACCAGCATGAAAAGCCCTGCCCAACTTTTACTGGGACAGAGATGTCCCAAGATGAGAGGCAGGGCGCTTGCTGGATCCAAACAACATGCCACCACTAATCAGCTTCCGTGAAAAAGCAATGTGCTGCAATTAAAATGGTGTTCCAAGGTGACAGGGAAAGAGGAAGTGCTGGCCAGCACCCACCAGTGCGTGAAATATTCCCTCCATCACTGCCATTGCTTCCCAGGCCTTCCCGACCAACAGGAACATCAGGATTGTTCCTAGAGCTTCTCAGCTTTGAAATTAAAAAAAAAAAAATCAAACCTAGAGACAGATTAAACAACAAAACTCCTTTTCCATAGGATCTACCTCTCCTTCAACCTCACAGACACTTGAATCTCCTATTTCCCTTTCCTTTTCTACACTTTTTTTTCACCCCATATCCTTTTTATTGATACTTCAGCATCCCTGCACAGAGCCACAATATTGCTGAAGGGATGGAGTCAGGCTAGGATGCAGATGAGGCTCTCTGCTAGAGGGCTTTCCATCCTAACCACGGGAAGAAATGGTTCTCCTTGCCTGAGTGAGCAGCAAGTAGTAAAAACAGTCCCTGGGCAAAATCAAGCAGATGAGGCAAAGCAAGGAATTTCTCTTGTAAAATTCAAGGGAATCTGATACAAAGAGGAATTCCTCGCTCGTTTCAGATGGGAGCCCAGTGTAGGGAGGGCGGCCATCCCAAGCGGACCTTCATCTTACAGGGGACCATTAAGTTCAGTCACTGCTTGTCTCCTTCCAGCAGCATCAGCCCGCTGCCAACATCTGGTATCCAGTTGCTCCAGGACAGATTGACCTCCACTGATGACTCCAAGGAACGGATCTAATGATTTTGGAAAAGCTGAGTAGAACTGCAAAAAAAACAAGTCTTCAACACAGAAAAATCTCTGTACTACACACTCAGCTAAAAACCTATTTACAGCACCCATTAAGGAGGAACCCAAAACAAGGATGAGCTTTTTGGCCACGTCTGCACTACAATCTAGAGCTTTGCATAGCCAGGAGCATCTGGCTGCCATCCCGGCCTGGTATCAGCCTGGATCTTTGTCAATACGAATTCTTCAGGTCTTCTTTTATTTAGAAGCTCTTCTGTGCCCCCACAATATTCAATGGCAGCACGGTGGTTACAAGTGACAGCTGCAAGGCCCAGGCTTTATACAGCCTAAACTTTGCTCATTCTTCTGTAAAAACCACATTTGGATGGTTTCTGTTCCTGACCTACAATTTTCCATCTCAAAAGAAGTCCGCATTTGCACTTCAGAGGGTAGAAAATGATTCATAAAGAACTGAACAGCGTCTCGTTCTCTGTCATTTGCGTCCAGGATTTAATTCCTTTTTTAAAGAGCTAAGGCTCAGTGAGCAGCCTGGGAAGATGAAATCGCATTGGCATACATACGTACAAAATCGCCTCGCAGCCACCTGAGTAACAATTGCCACAATGAAATTACTGCAGCTGGAATTGGATTAGGTCACAGCAACGGACAAACACAGATAGCTGCAACGAGAGAAATCAAAGCAATGACAGTTTAGATCAAGATAAGGGAGAAAAGGCCCACAGGGAGTATTACGCCACTGCCACGGAGCCAGGCGAGATGAAAAGAAGAGCCCCCAGTCCCCGAGGTGTGCAGACAGCTCTGTGTGCCTCTATCTGGCACTGACAGCACAGCTGGAGCAGCAGCAGGTCAGCCAGGTCGCCTCTCACACCACAGAACTGGTAAAAGATTAATGAGACCTCATATATGTCACACACACACATATATATCTTCACATATGCCCTGCATGGCCTCTTTATGAATCAGATCATCCATAGTTAACAGCCAGGCTGCTGTCAGTGCAAGGGAAATCATCCATAGTCACTCGCCTCCAGTAGATGGAGCTTTAAGAAAGGCTACAAACACGTTATAATCATGAAATGAGCTATGTTGTGACCTGAAAGCAGGCACAGCCCTCACGCAGCCTCGTTTCTGAAAGGCACACCACTAATGGCCTGCTGTTGTAGCATTTGATACAGATACAGGTTGCCCTCCTCCCTCGACATTCAGTAAATCCCTGCGCTTGCTTCCGAAGCAGGAGCACATTTCATTTCCTGAACCTGGCTCATAGGCCTGCCTGACCTTTGTAAATCACTAAAACACCATCTTCACATTTTCCTTTTGCCATTTCGAAGCCTAAGCCGGACCCTAGAGCCTCACAACCAGGAAAAACCAGAAAAGCACCTCGGAAAACACAAGGACTACAAGCACAGCAAACATCAAAGGCAGGTGCTGAGCAAACATCTCATTGAAACCTGCGCCAGCAGGGCTTTGGAAGCAAAGCCAATAAAAGCCATGAAGTTTCCCAAAATAAATATCCAGCAATAACGCTTGACTTAGGATCAAGTTGAAGACCCAGCACACGGCAGAGGGGAAGGGGATGACATTTAGGGTTTCTTATCTTTAATTATAGGTGGACAAAGTAAATATTTTCATGCTGTTTTGATGACAGCAGGTTGATGGCAATGCGCACACGATGGAGGAATGTCGGGCGAAAACCACCGTGGTTTAGCACTGAATAGACACGGGAGCGAAAGCACAAAGGCACGGGATGTTACAAGGGCAGGAAAGGAGAGAGCAAAGTATGCGAGCAGACTGCAGTGAGTGAAAAGACCAGGAAAAGAGCAAAAAGGCAACTCTGACCTACCTGCAGAGCTCCTAGGCTTGTATTACAGCCAGTAAGAGACCTTTCAAGAGAAAGATCTGTTTTTCAGACCACTGTAGTAACTCAGGCACAGCTCAGTGCCCTGCAAGGAAAGCCTTTCCTTCCTCTAACACAGCTACCAAAGCAGGGAGGCAGTAAAACCACCAAGCGAAACGATGTACGAAGAACTAAGAGCAAGGACTACAGCACCTTGACAGGCTGCTCTGAGCCATGTCACAGACATTGCACTGCACACAGTTCTTCACGTCCCTAGAAGATCACTGAAAAGCTGGAAAGGACACAGTAAGGGACAGACCAAAGATAGCTGAAGTCACAGGGTAACTTTTCAGTGACATAAAGATCTAATACACTGGGCTTCTTTAACCTGTAAAGAATTCTACAGAGAAAGTGTAGGATGTCTGTAAGGCCACAAATGATTTGGAGAAGGAATCAGCAGCCATCAGTCACTGGTTCTCAACCCGTAGGAAGATTCAGGGGAGCCAAGGGAGTCAAAGACACACCGCCAGTGCTCCCCCACAGCCCCACTCCCACATGGTGAGCTGTCCACAAAAAGTCAGACAAATTCCTTGAAGGCCCATTCATCAGGAGCTACTGACACAGTGACGTGTCTGTGGCTCCTAGATCAGGAGTCCTGGTGAGCTACAGGCTTGCAGGGATGGGATCCCTTCTGCCTGCACTGCTACCTGCTGCTGAAGACAAGGAACAGCTCAAGGCATCTCCACTCTGACCACTCTCATACAATCGTGTCCAGCATTTTATGTTTTCAAGATGCTGCCTGTTCCACTGTGCATCTACTCAAACCGACAAACCTACATAAATCCAAAGTTGACTCGTGTGAGGCCTGTTCAATCAGGCGGACACCTCATGTCTTCTCAGCAAGGGGGTTCAGAACTTGCACATGAGGATTTGGAAGCATTTAAGAGCAATTTCCACGAAGTGAATGTTGCCTGAAAAAAAAGTACAATAACCCCACACACTTCTGCACACAGGAAAACAAAAGCACCACTAAACAAATATTTTAGTAACGTAAGGGATGCCGAAATGTGCATCCAGTACCTAAGCCTTGCCTTGTACAAACATTTGGCAGCTCAGCATCAGGGCTCTAGATCACGCAGTGCACCACAACCACCCCACATCATCTTTGTGACACGTGCTCTTTACATTTAAAATTGGAAAATAACCCGGAGTTACGGGCTACTTCAGAAACACAGCTTGTTCTCGATGGTGAATGGGACTAACGTACAGCCTGACTCACGCCTTGCTGGTTCTGTTGGAGTACTTACTGTTCCCTGCACTTGTTTCACCTTCTCTGGCCAAACAAGCACCAAATGAACTTCCTTCAGAAGTTTAAGAGAACAATTCTCTGTACCTGGCTCAGGGAGGTGCACAGCCGGGCTGTTCTGTTATCCTAGAGGAAGGACAGAGCCTCCCCTGTCCTCTGCAGCACACATTTTAATTAAGTAAATACTAATGGTTTAGCAAAACCAGCTGATTTTCACAGAACATAGATGCACCCTGAGACACTGAAATCTGCAAGGCAAGTCACGTGCCCCAGTTTTTCTTCCCTTACTTATAAGGACAGTGCTTTAATTCTCCTTAAAATAGGATTAGTTTTCTTCTCCAGTCTGTGCGGAATAAAGCACCAGCTTTGTCCCATCCAGGATTTATTTTTGGCTGGATGTTTTATATAACAAGCCTGAAAAATTCATTTACAAAAGATGCAGAGACCTTCAGAGCGGTGCTGAGCACTTCGTTTTGTGTCATGCAGTTCCCCTGAATTCCTTTCATGTCACGTAACATGAATTCTACTTTGCAGCTTCGTTCAATGCTCAACAGAACCGTGCCACAGAGTTAACCCTTCAAAGCTCACTCAAGCTCCAGTTACCACACCTGTGGGCACGGCCACGGCTTCAGAGGAGCTGGATAAATTCACATCAGCTGAGCAACTGCCCCCCAGGATCACCAGGTCTATGTAAAATTATTAGGATCTGGAACTTCTCACCATTGTTTTCTATTGAAAAGAGTGGAGTTTTAAGAAAAAAATAGGATTTTGTTTATATTTGAGTGTACCTGGTTAGAAATCATAAATAAACAAGTACGCATTCTTGCTTGAACACGGGTGCTTCTTTGCTTTTGCTAAGCTAAACAAATCACCTACCTTGACAAATAAGTTGATGCTGACACCAGTATCAGGGATGAAAGAAGAGTGAGCTGCTAAAAACAGAAACTTTGAGAAGGCAAAGAAGTGACAGCTGCATGCAAAAACCAGCATAACCACCAAGCTTTAAAGATTCTTCATTCTCCTAACAGACTCAGATCCTGGTATGGCTCTAATTGTAATGGACAGATATAGGAAGGCTATTCCCAGACAAAAATATTTCACCTACTGGCAAGATAAGCCGCATAATGCCAAGAATCATGCACTAAACAGTGAGCAGCCAACACTCCTACCTTGGGAAAGGGTTAGCATCTTTTCTCAGTGGCAGGCAACTACCACAGGACTGAGCTTGCTACATGGCATACATCTGCACCAGGGGAAAACAAAACAAAAAGTCTTCAGCCCATCAGCTCCAAGCACGCAAGGTTGGCAGCTCTGTAAATGAGTCACACTGCTCACTAGAGGGCAGCAGGAAACAAAGCATAACCGGTGAAAATCCAGGAATTCTCAAAACAGGGGCCGCAAGCTTCAGCCAGTCAAAAGCAGCTCTGCACAGGTCATCTACCTAGAAAAATACAATTACTTCTGAAGGTGTTGGGGCTCCCAGATCAATTGGAAGTGCATTTGCAAGTGGAAAAGTGTTATCTTCCTGCAGTCCAGGATGACTTTTCATACTAGCACAAACCCCCTTTGTACAGTACCCTCAGCTTCATCTTCACATCAAGCCAAAAAGCAAGATACCCTTTGGGCAGCTTCTATCTCATGGGTAAAGGGAAACTGGCAGAAGTTTTTCTATCTACAGCAGCCAGGAGTACAAGAAAAAGCCTTTTTTAGCACAGCTGTGGCTCCTTCTGAAAGTGATTCAGAAGATCACATATGTTTGGGATATAAAAAGCTAACACTGACCCCTTAAAATGAGACCTTATATAAAAGTCTTCAGTCTTCTGGCTGTCCTCAGCAAGGGCAGACAAAAAACCATTCTGGAAATTCTGCTACTTTGGGAAATTACAGCCAAGCTGTCATTTCTATACCAAACAATGAATGAATACACCGAGTTCTGGGCTGAACTCTATCTCCAAGCACCCGTCAAGTGCCAGCCCTGAAAGGTTGCTGCTGACATGAAAAGTACAGCCTGCTCCTTTCATTTTCAGCTTCTACGTCAGCACTTGTGCACAACTCCCCTACAGAAAAAGCACAAACCATGCCAGGCTTCTTCAGTAAACACAACCCGGCTCTGCAGAAGAGATTAAGCAACTCTTGACAGGCAGGTAGACACAGTAAACAGAGGAGAGCATTTAAGGACACATCAGAACACATGCACTGACATTAATGTGACTCCTCGGTTGCTAATAAAAGACACCACAACTCGCTGCAAAGCTAAGCATGTAAATTCGGTGGGTATGTACAGTGTTTCTTCAGAGAACTCACAATTGCCTACAGAGCTGAGAGCTGTGTTAGTGTGGAAACCTCTGCTTTGATTAACACATGGTTGACTTAAAAAAAAATAGTCCAAAACCCATGATTGCTTTTAGTTTTTAAACTGGGATATCATCTTGATCAGGTCTGCTCGCCTCAGGATTGTAGCACAGCAGCAGCAGCGCCACGGCTCAGACTCACCCATTTCACCCAAGCCTTTCTGGATCCAGGCCACGGAGAAATGCTCTTCGGTTCCGCACTGTTTCCCCCATGCCCTCGCCAGTAGTTAAGCACAGCCTGTGTTTGAAGGAAGCCTCAGAACAACATCCATCAAAAGGAACATACAGCCCGGCTCCCCACAGGGGAAAAGCAATTAATACCCTAACGTTACTTTTTCCAGAAGCCACCGCTCTGGGAAGGCTGTAACCCCACATGAAAGGCAGGGCACGCTGCTGACTGCTCCGTCTTGTCATATTCCTGTGCTGCTGCCAGCACGAGCAGCTGTCCCCCCCATCTCAGCCACGCAAATATTCTTGTGGCTGCCAGTTGTGGACAGATTCCCTGAGCTGCCTCCTCGTGGGGCTGCCTGAGCAGCAGTGCCAGCGCTAAGGATGGAGCAGGAGCAAGAAGCAGGGCTGGTTTGGGATCCTTGCTGTGTTAGAGACCTCGCAAGAGCCTGTGGAAAATACCCAACATCTGGGCTCAAACACAAAGCAAACTGCAAGAACAGAAGTAGTGACTTTGGAGATGGTAACTAAAGGTTGGAAGCCTCTATTCCCCAAACTGGCATTTTTCTGAGAGCAAACCATTGTTAAGAGCCTCCCCTATCACACAGTGAATTATTTCTGTCCCCCTGTTCCACCCAATTGCTTCAGCATCCCTCCTTCCTCTTCTACTGTCATCCTCCCCCTATTTTCTTCTTTCCTGTGACACCACATTTCCCACCCATCTTTCCCTTCCCCTGGGTGACCCCCTCTACCCACCCATTCTCCTGAGGACAGATCTTTCTAACAAACTTTTCACGACAAAGAAAAAGAGACCGAAAGAGAAGCTGCAGGACACGCGAGGAGGCTCATCCCTCCCCGAGATCACAAGCTCCAGCCAACAGCCACGCAGGCTGACTGATGCAGAATAGAAACACCATAAATAACGAATGGGATTTCTTTTCTAATTATTTTCCAGCATAAGGGGGTGTATAAGAAAAAAGGAAGCAGACCAAAAATTCACCGATCCAATTTAATTTTCTCAGCTACATAAACACTTGAGCTCACAACAACAGTCAGCTAAAAGCACGCTTATCTGCTAGGAGAACACAGTCCTCGCTCCCACACTAATCCTGAAGCCATTCATCCATAGATATTAGGTATTCAGACTCAGATATTCAGCAGTTTTTCCACAGGACTACTCTGTTCTTGCCTCGGGATACCTGCTATCCTGAGGCCCTGTTTCCCTGACTAATGGGAACCACCTTCTGCTGTCACAGGTGATGCAGACTCTCCAGATTAATAACATCTACCACTAATGACCCAGGCACTAGGCATACCTCCGTGTTCACCTCCGACTCCCGGGGCTGGGATGGCACAATATTTTGGTCAGTCTCAGTCCGGCTCGTGGCAGACGTCAGATAACCCAGCTTGTGCTGTCACTCTGCTGCTCTGCTAAGGAAGCTGTCACATTCCCGGAGACCCAATGGCCTTTTGGAAGTGCTTTTGAATCAGAGGAAGATCCCCACCCCTAAAATACTATTTCAAGTCTGATGAGAAGACCCATTACCCACACTGTCCAAGCCCCAGAAGTCTTCTGATCACACAGCTTACAGGGCTGCAAGCTATAGCCACAACGGATCCCGATTTATTTTATGCCACGGAACAGTTTACAACATGAAAACAAACAAGCAAAGGAGCTCCCTTGCCCAAGACAGAACTTGGCTGTAAAAAAGTCTGCCAAAGGCAGATTGTTTTTAAAAGACTCTTTTAAAAGACACTTGGTTACTTCACCACAAGGTAAGGAACCATTCTACACTGCACATCCCACAGTTACCACAACTGTGGTGTTTTGTTTTTTTTTTTTTCCAGGTGTGAGGTGTCTCCAAAACAAGCGATGTAGGAGAAGGCTCCTAAGCCCACTCTGCCCTTTTCGGTACATCTGGAATCCCTGAAAATAGCAGGGGGTGTTGGAGACAGCAAGGGTGAAGGGCCTGGCATTGCAGCATACCAACCTTTTTTTCCAGTACCAAGCTTTAGCAACATACTCCATGCTGCCAACAACCCGCCCCAATGCTATCATTTGGGCTGCAGGCTGTGTATCTTCATTTCCACAAACGTCACCCCAACTATGCCCCAGCCCAGCCTTAGGACTGAGGAGTGGCCATAACGTTCTTCTCTGCATCCCATTCATCAAAGCAATCAAGTCCAGATGCCCCAAGACACACTAAAGGGTGTTTGAGCAATTAAGCTGCCCTACACATTGTGGTAACTGTCTCACAGCTCCCAGAACTTCTTCGTACCTGTGACACAGGGCTTGTGAAATCTCAACAGACAAAAGCCCTCCAGCCTGTCCCACCGTTACAGGAACTTCCCCATCCTCATGTGAGAGGAAGAAGGCTTGCTCAGGACATTCTTCGTAGTGGTGGTCAGCACACTTACTCACAAAAAATAATGCAAAACCTCAAAGCAGACTTCATTATTCTTCTAATGAAATATGGATCGTGGCTTCACTGTAAAAAATTTGCAATAGTAGCCTAAGACACGTGACTTCCTCGTCCACAAAGGGAAACCTAGCAAGGATTGGTATCTAGTATTTGCAGATTTTATCACAGGTTCTGCATGTCCCACAATTAGAGGTGAAGACAACTGCACTAGCAAGTAGTGAACATTGACTGAGCTAGACTAGTTTGACGGATCCCACTGCTGCCCCGTTTAGCATGCTAAATACCAGTATCCCCACTGGAAAAAGAAACAAACAAACAAAAAAAACACCTCATGCATTTAATTCCAAGCAGAATTCTTGATTCTGCAAGGCCAAAACAAGCCACCTGCTGCCTGAGGATGACAAGGCACCAAACTCTACTTTTACACTACTTAAAACTACAAAGTAATCAGAAACATTATCAGCCACGTTACACCTGCTCAGCCTGCAGATTTGCCTTGACAAACCATCTTCTCATATTATTTGCGATCAGATTCACCCACACAACATTAAACATAATTACCACACCCCTGCCATATATTTGTACTGGCTGGGCTGAGGGGTGTCTCTGGGCCACTGCATTTTGATTTAACACTTCTTGCCATATATTCACACTGGCGAGGCTGAGGGATGTAGTAATCAGAATGTGTCAGACATCAGTTGATCCCATATATGCCATTATTCCAGAGAACCTGGAGTGGTGGCTGGTCTAAAATGCTATTTCTGCAGAAATCAGCCCCCTTCGAACAAGGGAACTGCTGCCTCCCAGAGCTGAATGTGAGCAGCTCCTCACATTCGTGTCTTAGCACCAGCACACATTCTCTCTTGTATTATTCAAGCAACAGGCTACAAAGGCCACGTCTTGAGCTCATTAGTGGAAGATACATGGTGAGCACACGAAGAGCAAAAGGGAAGAATTGGTGTTGATTAATAGTAATTTGAGACATTATTTCCTCCTGATGCCTGTAGGGTTGCTCTGTGGGCTTGTTCAGGTAACCCTCTTCCTCTGAGAGCACACAAAACATGGATAAATGGTGTCATCAAAACAGCAGCAGCTGAGAGCATCCTCTGAACTGCTCTCCTATGTCTCATCAACCCACAACATACATTGCATCTGTCAAGCTAGAACGGACTGTACTTCTGGTAAACCGTGTTTTAAGACAAGGCAGGTGCACCTGTAACTGACCACTGTTACTCACTCCAGTGACGTGCACAGATAATGCACTGGATAAGGAAAGACCATGTGAGGAGGCAGAAGCTGTTACCTGGGAGTGGAGAGGGAAAAGAATCCGGAGAACGAAAAGGCTCCTCACTGCTCTCAGTGCTGCTTGAAGGCTGGAAGATCTCTGCTAGGTCACAAACAGAAACAGAGGGCAGGTCCAACACGCTGCTCTCCTCCGAGTGGAGGCTAGGTGATGGCTCTTTTCCTTCCATGGGCCCGCTGCAGAGACACAGAGTTGATTGAGCAGTGTTTTTAGAGCATGAAAATCTGAGCAAAAGACAACCTGGCATTTCTGTACTGCTCTGTCAGCTGAGAAAAGCTGTTTTATTGTATTGGTACTGAATTTAAGAAAAGAGCAAGATTAAAACAAAACAAAACAAAACAAAAAAAAGCACAACCCTCAGCCCTACATTGGATAAGTAGGAGCCCACAACATATCTGGCTTTCTTAGAGGCTTCCCAGAAGTACAGATTCAGTCGCCAGCCCTAAAACAGCCTTACACCTGTAGCAACACCAAATAGGAATCGACCTAGTACCTGCTGCAAGGCCTCGTGCCAGCAAGACTTCTCAGGCAGGAGCTTCACTGAAGCACATACAGTGAGAATGACAATGAGATTGAGTGAGGTAAACGTGAGCTGAAATTTTGTTCTCCTCCCTCACTTAAGTAACAGATGATGCTTTTCACAGGGGAAAAAAAATGTGGACAGAACAAAAATGTTTCTCATTAGATGTGAATTTAGTTCCCAGCTCTTACAGAGATGACAGGAGATTTTGCCCACATTCCTTCCATCATCTGTTTTGTCTACTTACACGTAGTACAAAAAAAAAAAAAAAAAAGCAGATTGTGTCTCTGCACTGCCACCTCCACTAGCTCACTAGCTGTATCCTTGTGCCATCTTGATAAAGAACAATAGGGCAGAGAAACCAGATCTAGTGGACAGGCAATGGTTCAGGACCCTATAGACGCTAATTTATTTCCTTTTTTATAAGGAAATATACTGCTTTCTTAATTTTACCTCAGGGGTTTCATAACAGTAATAAATGCTACAGTCACAGGGGTGAAAGAAACCCCTAGGAGTGGTTAGCATTTAAAAAGTTAAGTGAATAACCCCATAAGGTTTTTATTTAATAAAAAATAAATAATTCCTCAGGTGCTTCTGTCCTGAAGAAACTTGTAGCTAAGACACACCTCTGACCTTTGCAGAATGCTGACCAACCTGCTAATGAGCAGAGTGAAGATGTTGGCTGTGATACTGGAACCCAGCTGCCTCGCATTGAAGGGACAAGCAAGGTCAGTGCATTCATGGAAACTTTCCACAGACAACAGAGTGGAAAATTAAAAACAAAACAAAGGACACAATCCTCCCTCCACAGTTTCTTTACAAACAAGGTTCTCCTCTGTTGTTCTTCATGCCCCAAATCACTGATGATCTGGGCATAAGGAAAACAGAGAAGAAGAAACGTGCCTCCAATTTGTTTTCCTGCTTGGTGCTACTTTTTAAATACGTAAATACTTTACAGAAGTCTAATTCAGCCCTTGGCCTGAAACAAACAAAACACCCACAACTCTATCCCTCCAAGGGCAAATGGGAAATTATAGCAAGAGGAGATGCTGCTGTAGTACCACAGCAGCCTGAGGCTGATGTTGATACGTGTGGGCTGCTGGGATCCTGGCCTTCCCTGCTAGCTGCCTCGGCCAGCCTCTTTCCTTGCGCTGCCACAGCAGGGCTAACAACATGGGCAGCCATGTGATGATCAGGTCCAAACAGTTCTTCTCAATTAAAACTAATCACTCCCATCCCCCCCAAGTTCTCTCTTAGATCAGATCCCTCCATTTCTCCAACTTCAGAGTGTACTTTGACCATGTAAAGAAATGTAGGCCAAGGTTGCAGTGGTTCTACTTCCAGAACTGATGGAGAGATTTGTTTGTGAAGACAACCAAGATCTCAGCTCAGCCCTGGGCCTTCAAATGCGTGAAGAGACACACTATTACCCCTGTGCCATACCTGGGAATAGCACTGATGTTGGAGCAGTCACCTGGGACAGGTGCCAAGAGCAAAGAGCTTGTCACTGCTTCAGTATCCCCTCCTTCTTGGTGGTTTGTCAATCTCAGCTCGCTGGAATGAAACAAACAGTCTGGTTATATGCTTTGCATCAGCTGATCAGGCTGACTGGATGGTGTGACCTTTCAAAAGGCATATACCAGCTGAAGTCAACAGTCAGTCACCACACATACCTCTGTTTGTCAGGCCTGGCAGAGAGAAAGATATTTTCTAGGAATCAGAAATAGCATATCTAGTAATGCCCTTATGCCTTCAGACGGTGATGGAGACCTCCTGGAAAGGTGCAGGTACATGGTAGAAATAAAGCCAAGACTTTCTTCACAAGAAGCTGCCAGATGGGCTGTTTACTCAAAACCAATAAAGAAGTAAAGCGAACTACTGCTGACACCCTTCCCTCCCACTAGTGGATGCACAGGTTATTTCCCCACCAGGTTTATCTAGTAGTGCTTCCATACCAACACAGGCTTACATCAAGCTTTTACCAGGAAGAGAGCAGCAAAATCCAGGGTGCAGATACAAGCCATGGGTCCAGGAGACCAAATCCCGTCCGCTCCCCTTTGCCATTACCTCAACACTTCAAGCCAGTGATTAGGACAAACATACTTCCAAGAAACTGGTGTTACCTTCTGACCACCCTCAACCTGTGGCAGGAACTTCCCACACAAATGCTTTTTGTTGCTCCTGCACAAATATAGGAGGCAGATGGCATCCACAGGACATTACAGGCACAGTGGAAGGTGTGAGGCACTGGCATTACCAGCTGCCACGTTCAGCTGATTTAGGGGGATGGAGGACAGGAGCCCTCTTGAAGCAGCCTCCTCTCTTTCCATCCAGAGATGCAATTATTTCAACAACTGCTCCAGCCTGATCTAAGCCCTGGGTGCTTCACAGAGAAGGGAAAGAGGAGCCACACAGGGCAAGCTGATTGTGAAGGCCCCCATGAGCCTGAACCCCCACAGCCCCGAGGGGGGGAGCTATGGCTGCTGAGATGTCTATGTCCATTCCCCCCAACCTTCCCCCCGCTGCTGAGGAGAAAAGCATGCTGCAGCACCCGACAGACAGCAAAACATGGCAATGGGAACGATAAGGGGAAATCCAACCCGCCCCGGGGCCGGGACTCACCCCCACCACGCCCGAAGGCCGGGCAGGACGCGAGGGGGCCGCCCGCCATGTCAGCGCGAGGGGGAGGTGAAGCGGGCGGAGCCATCTTGACTAAGGGCAGGCGGGGCTGCTAGCGGGCGGGCTCTTTGTAAGGGGGGGCGGGCAAAAAACAGATTAAAAATTGGTAGTTTTGGTGTGGCCACAGTAATTAAAGTAGTTTGAGGCTTGATTTTCCTCAGAACACGCAGTTTTGATTTTTTTTTTTTTTGGTGAAGTCAGCGAGGAAAGGGTTTCCCAAACCACGCCACTGAGTTCCTGTGAGGTGGGAAGAGGAGCCTGGCGTCCTGTGGCAGGGCGATGCCAAACCACCTTGGTGCCTCAGCCCTCCTGCATGCTTCCCTGGCAGCCTGAACTCTGCAGGAGAGACCTGAGAGGGCTGCCCGACACACGACAGTCCAGCTGCTGCTTTGCAAAGCAGCCGGGCAACGTACAGGGGTCTAAGGTGCCCCCTCAGCACCCGGTCATTTTACAGCCCCGTTGTGCAAGCCCCAGCCCAAGGCTTTCCTAGGAAATAAAACACCGGCCATCCCGGCACAGCACAGCCGGCGGAGGTCACGGAGCAGCCCTGGCTGTTGTCTGAGGCCACAGGGTGGCCTGGCGGGCGGGAGCGCTGCCAGCCGAGAGCTGGCCGGGCTTCTTGGCAAGCCGACCGCCACGGAGGCTGGGAAGGAGCTGGTGGCTTTTCCAAGAGCCTCTGGGCTGGTGGCAAAGTGGTGTGTTTAAAGGGAGGTCAATGAAAGGGGAAGAAAAAAAAAATAGTAGTCCTGTGGCTGCCAAAAAGGCCTCATTTTGCTCCCAGGTGAGCTGGCACAGGGGAAGGCCCCTGCAGGGACAGTCTGTGAGTCTGTTTTTTAGTGAGAGCAGCCAAGCCTGGGCTTTTGGGTTTAAGAAGAGATGCAAGCCTAGCCTCCTAGGTGGTAACTAAACCCAGGCGCTGCTCTGGTACCAGGCTGTCTTCCCATCCACTATCTGTCACCCATCCCTCTGGGGAGCGGGGTGGCCCCTTTTTTATGAGCTGGAAGGCAGCACCCCAGCACACCTTGCAGGGAGCAGGGCTGGAGCTGAGCACGGGAACACACAATGTCAGCAGATCTGCATTGTTTAGTTGTGGGAGCACATGCAGTGCATCCAGAAACCAGCCATCTCTGTGATATCTCCCCATGGGATCATCCGTGCCAGCAAAAAAACTCTGGCAGTGGGGAATTTGGTAGGTACTGTTGGGTCCCCAAAAAATCCAAAGAGCTCCAGAAAGCAGAAGTGACAAAGAAGCCAAAATGCTTGTTTACAACATTCTCCAGACTACCAGTTTCTATTTGTCACATTAGGTGGAAATCTCTGACCTTACTTTCATTTCCTTCACAAAAAGAAAGGGGTCCTGTGCCCTCCTGATGGAGCAGTGCGCTCCCCTGGCACCCCGTCATTGTAATCTACAGCCCTTACCTTTATTTCTTATGGACTGCATTATCAGCAAAAAGCTTACATTGGCTGACAGTGCTTAGAGCAAGCCTACAAGTGCGTACTGTGCTCCTTCTTTTTATCAGTGTGTCAATGTTAACACATGATAAAACTACGCCAGCAGCCATGTCTGGAGCTGGTTAAAACGGAAGGTACATATGAGACAGGAAACTCCGAATTAAGCCTCGTGCTTGATGTTTTGTCAAGATCAAACTACTGAGAGGCAAACATGACAAAAAGGAAACACATTTTCTGACTATTGCAGCTCTGTTGCAATGGGAGTTTTCAGTGTTGACAGTTTCAAGGCCAGAGTCCTAAGCTGTACAATTTCATGTCATTGAAGCTAGTGTGTATCTACTGACTTACCACCTTAAAGACTTAATGAATAACAATGAAAAAAAAAATCTACTTTCATAAACAGCAGACCTAGCATGTTTTTCAGTCCTTTCCTACTATCACACCACAGAGGAACAACTCACTTCCTCCTTTCACAATTGCTAGAGATGAATTTAATACATGAAAACAGTAGAACAGCTGAATAGCTTCTGTACAGCAGGAAGTGCACAGGGCAGGAGGGACGGTAAGAAGACTCAAATGAGGTTGATTTTCTCCCTGTTGAATTAGGCAAAGTTTGTTCTGTGCTTTACTACAAATGAACAAACCAAAGTTTGTAGTTTGTGTTGTTATCCACTTGGAGGTTGCTTTCTCACAACAAATTAGGACCTTGTTCTCACAACTGAAAGCAAGAAAGAATATTGTCATTTAAATCTATTATCTGCATGCATTTTACTTCCCAGCTCTGTTGCTAAAACTGCTGAAAGATCAGGCTGTTCTGGATTCCACTCTAAGGCTCTCTCAGGCCCTCCAGATGGTGTTTGGTTGGCCTTTGCTCTGGAAAAGCCTCTTGTGGCTACGCCACAAAAGGTCAGAGTAAGGCTGAAAGATGAGCTCTTCTCCACCCTCACCCCCTCCAAAAAAAAAGGATTAGACACCTGGTATTTAGTAATTTTCTTCATGATCATCATCCCTTCACCTGTAGCTGTGTCCTTCATGTGCTCGCTGTTGTACAGCTTTGGCTGCCCTAAAACTCATTGATTTATGCCGCTGTGTTAGCACGTCTGATAAAAGGATATTATCAGTCCCCACACAGATTTGCCTCACACAAGTTTCCAGAACCACATAAAAACACATTGTGTGTTTCATATTTTTTCCACATCAAGGCAATCGTTGAAATCAGCAAGCCTCCCTGCACAGGGTCAGCTCCACTGGAACTGAAATGCTCCTCGTCATCAGCACTGACTCCAATCAGTGATAACTGAGGGGCTAATGGCATTTGGCGTGGCAATTTCTGCCCTGTTCGGACTGAACTATCACAAAGCCCTTACTACTGATTCAGGTTCCTGGTTAACACCGAGGTCAGTGTATAAACTGTCCTACACGTCTTTCTCATGCATAGTCAAATAGCCATCGATCTACCAAGTTACCCCAGCCCCATAACCTGTACTCCGGTGACCGTACTTCTCTTCGGGACAGGTTAAGGTTACTTCCAGCAAGCAGTCATCTGCATTGCAAAAAGTGGGTCAGCCAGGCATCTGAAAATCTCTCAGCCCGTGCTGGCCTTTTCTTCACTGGCTGTAAGACAAGAAAGCTTTTTTGCTTCCTGCTTCGGTAACAAGAAGCTTAAGCCTTTTGCTTGTTGCAATCAACACCCTAAGGTACAGGAAGTTTAAAAGACCAAATGTTATTTCTGCTCTACCACATGCCAGTAAATTGACTTTTTTTTTTCCCCCCTCCCGGTGATCTGTTGCTATGGGTCTGCCAGCAGCATCTGACTTTTTAAGGTGCCTCTTCTGAACTCAGCCTGAATTTGTGGTAGCCAGCTCATGGTTTCTTTGTGTCTTAATGTTGTCTCTTGGGATTTTATTACTTTGGGAGAAACTTTCTCTCCCTTGAAAGAGTAGTTTTCAGTGGTAAAGCTTGAAAATGTGAATGTTCAGCATGTTCCAGCAGAAGCAAGAGTGGAAAGGAAAACTTAAGAGTTAAGAGCACTTCGGACTGGCAGTGTTAGCCTGACAGGGCAGCTTAGAGCCTGAAGAGCTTTCACATGCATGAATCCTGTTTTGCTTCTGACACATTCCTGAAACCTTCTTCTTCTAGTCTATACATAGGAGGAAATGGGAGAAAGTATAAGAACAGCTTGGGTTTGCTGTGTGTGACTGCCCCAGCCCCTTTCTGTTCCATCACAAAACCTACAAGACCTCTGCTCTGCTTTCCCAACACTCCTCCTTGCCACGACGGCCGATCTACCCTTCCTCATTCGCCTCACTCTCATGAGAAACATTCGTGTCCCTTTTTGTCTTCTGGGGCCTCTCATCCCACTGAGTTCTGACAACTCTCAGACCTTCTGAGAACCGTTTCCTTCCAGTGCCTGCGAGTTCCTCTTTACAGCCAATACCAGCTGGGACCTCTGAACCAGCTGCTGCCCTGGCGTTTCATCCAAGTGACCCTTGCCAAAGCTCCCCACTGCTTTCTGAGAAAAAGCAAAAGCATTCCTCTCCCTCCCCTAAAGCTTCCTCTGGTGCAGCCTTGTTGGGGATGTCTTCATCCTGCCACCACTTCGAAGCCATGTCACGGGAATCTGGTCTTGGTCCTCCTCACTCAGAGGAAGCTTTCAGTACAAGCACATTCAGCTGTGTACTCCGCCAACAGGTCCAAGAAACAGACATTGGGTCCAGAAACGAGGGAGCCAAACCTATTTCTTACAGCTCCATACCAAATCCTGCCTCTCTCCTTTTCTGGTGCTCTGATTGCTATTCCCTTTCTTCTACCCTGTTTGCATCTGTTGTCGTTTGAATCCTCTTTGAAGGAAAGCTTTTTAGGACGCCAACACTATTCTTCTTTTTCACTTAAACTTTCAGCACAGTAGATGCAGACGGAGGGCTCTGTGGGGCCTCTTTCCCTCCTGACAAAGAGCCTTTCTGCGTCTCACCGACCATAAAAGAAAAGCACCACGTGAAGCAATGTTAGACACGAAGCACACTGTAGCTAAGCTTTCATCATGGACCCAACTACAACTTGGGGCTGCAATAACTGCTATTTGTTTGCTTCTTCCAGCATTCTCCCCTTGCAATATATGTTGATTTAAGTCCCGGCACCCACGCTCTTCCCATGCATTCCTGCTCCTCAGGGATTTTGCACATCCTAATGGCTCTGCTGGTGCCTGTGACACAGCTGCTGTCTGATGGCAGTCCTGTGCTTTGCAGCTGTAATGGAGGAACTACGTGGAAAGAGCAGAGACATTTGGAGTGACAGGGCAGGTCTTACCTAGACTCACCTCTCATTCTCCCTTTGGAGCAAAATATACCTTTAAGCACTGGTGATCTGCTGTTTATCCCATTTCATTCTCAGCTCTATGAACTCAGTGATCTACAGTCTCTTCAGCTTCTCAGCCACCAAACAATCCACAGCAGTCA